TTACACTTACGTTTGAGAGATGTTATCATGGGGAAACTGGTAGAGCGTACAGGGGATTTCTCTGTAGTAGTTCTTACAACAGTGTGTGAATCTAAAATTATCTCAAAATAAAAAGTTGAATTAAAAAAAGACACCCCCTTTATTAAGTTGCATGAACTCAACTTAGAACCTAGAAGGTAAGTTACCTAATAAAGGAATATGAATGAAAGAAAAAATTGCTATTTTTTTCCCACTAAAATGTTTATGTCTGAAAAGGAGTAACACAATGACAGGGTTCTAATCTTTTATACTGACATTGAATTAGACACCCTACAGAAAGCTGGGTGGACTGTGAGCTTGCTTACCATGCTCCCCATAATATCTGATTCAGCAGGTAGCAGCCCCCTCTGCTTCCCTCTGGGGGAGCAGTGAGGAAGGGGAGAGGACTTAGGTGAGAAAGGCTGCCGCAGAGTCAGGAAGTTCTTTAGACAGGGGAACCAAGTCTGAGGGTGTGAGACTCAGGCAGAGGGAGAGAAGTCAAGCAGGCATGATCAGAGGCATCCAGTTCTCACCCCCTCTGCCCTCTGAGCCCTGAATGCCCTCACCTACCAAAACCCAGCCAGCCTTCAGTCCTGGCTCAGACCCCATTTCCTCAAGGACACCTTCAATTCTAGCCCAGATCCCTCCTTGTTTGCTCTTGATCAGTTAGCTAACATTGGTCTGCACTGTGTCACCTGTAAACTCACAGGCAGAAACCGTCTCACTGGGCTGCTTGGCACAATGCTAGACACAGAATACCCAGAACAAAAATAATAGTCGGCTTGTATCACAAAGGGATAACCACTTAAATTTTAAAGAGGTCATAAAAATCAAGAAGAAGGAGACCCCAACCTGATAGAAGAATGGTCAAAAGATAAACTGATAGTTCTCAGTTTATAAATGCACATGGCCTTTAAATATATGAAAAGAAGTTCAACTTCTTCATAATGGGATAAATGCAAAACAAAACATATTGAGAGATCTCTGCTTACTATCAGATGGGCAAAAATCCAAGAGTTTGACTGCATATTTAGTGGTAACAGACCCTCTCATATATATTCCTGGTGGGAAGGCAAAATGCTATAACCCCTGGGGCATTTTTTAAACTTTTATTTTAAAACAATATCAAACTTACAGAAAAGATGCAAATACAGTAAAAGAACTTATATTTTTCAAAACCGTTTGTGAGTAAGTGTCAACATGATGCCCAATGACCCCCAAAAAATCTTAAACATATTTCTTACAAAGAAGGACATTCTCTTTCATTACCACCATACAAGCATCAAAATCAGGAAAGTAACACTGATCCATGACTACCATATAATCTTCAGACCCCATTCAAGCTTTTCCAGTTGTTCCAATAATATATTTTGTAGCAAAATTATCTGGGTAGCATCACACATTTTGTCAAGTCTCTAGTTCCCTTCAATCTGGAACAGTTCCTTAAACTTTCTTTGGCTTTCATGACCTTGACCTTCTTGAAGATTATGTCAGTTATTTTGTACAATATCCCTCATTTTGGACTTGCTATGATCTGAAGTTTGTGTCCTCTCAAAATTCCTATGTTGAAACTTTTACCCCAAATAGATGGTATTAGGTGATGGTGCCTTTGGGAGGTGATTAGATCATGAGGCAAATAACCTAATGGGATTTAGTGCCATTTTAAAGAGATCCCAGAGAGCTAGTCTGTCCCTTGCACCATGGAAGAACACAGAGAAAAGACAGCTGTGTATCAATCAGGAAGCCTCACCAAACATGGAAGCTGCTCTTGTCATGATCCTAAACTTTCCAGCCCCCAGAACTGTGAGAAATGAATATTTGTTGTTTATAAGCTACTCAGTCTACATGCTTCGTTATAGCGGCCCAAACAGTTTAAGACAGTGGTTGCCTGATGTCGCCTCAAGATTAGGTTCAGGCGATGCGTCTTTGGCTCAAAGGTCACAGAAGTGATGCCGTGTTGCTCTCCCTGCATCCTCTTAGGCGTGTCCCATTTCACTTTGGCCCATTACAGTTGATGCTGGCTTTGGTCACTTGATTTGATGTGTGCCAGACTTTTCTATTGTCAAGTTACTTTTTCCCTTTGTAATTGGGTAAGTATTTTGTTGGGAAGTACTTTGATATGATGTAAATACCCATTCCTCAGTAAACACACAATTTATTCATTTATTTATTTCCAGCAGTATGGATTCATGGATTCTTCTTTCATTCAGTGGGTTTATTTATTTTGGTGCTCAAATTTTACCATATTTTTCCAGTGGGAGCCCCTTCTGTATCCCATCATTCTTTGAGCACTTCCTTTTAAGTGTGACATGTTCTGGGCTCATCTTGTTCCCTGCTTGACCCAACTCTGGAATCTGCCATTTTTCCAAGAAGGTGCAGGTCCTTTTAGTAAAGAATGGTACTTAGAAACCAAGATCTGGGCATGAGGTGCACTCATTGCTATTGAGGTTTCATTGCTTTTAGGTGCTCTCAGTGGACAGAAAAGGGAATATATGTATGTATATGCATACAGACATGTATATACACACACATACATTTTACATCAGTACTTATTTCCATAGCTATTAATATATAGAGTGAGGCTTATGCTGGAATGAGAGGTAGAGGCTGAGGTATCTTCTGAGGGAAGGGGCTGAACCAGCATCTAAAAATTGGGGGAAGTTTATGGCAGTCACTGTGGGAAATCCAGTAAGAAGGTGAAAAAAGAATTGAATAAAAGGACTGTGTTCTGGCACACATGAAAAAATACAGGATGAATTTGTGTCTATTATTTTATCTATGAATAGGGATAATGACATTTCATGGGTTACAAAGCACTTTCATATCTACTCTTTGTTTTTGTGCTCATAACCTCTGTTGTGGGCATGCAGAGTAGTCCATGCAGCAACTTTGGGGCTTGGTGGAGCTAGTTACTAGTCCAGGGAGTTCCCAGAAAATTAGCAGACTGACAGCCTGGCTGAGGCTTTAAGGAAGTGACATCACAATCTTAAGACCTGGAGATTGCCCAGCTTCTGAAGGAATCCCCAGGAAGCTGACCATGCCAATAGGAAGCCGGCCCTCCCCTAAGGGGACTTCTTCCCTGCAGGCCCTCAGGTGCACCTATGGAGGATAATGATCCAGGAGATCCTCCCAGGAAACCAGACCAGGACCTCGCTCCATTGCGAAGGGAGCCCTGGCTGCCCTGCCAGCAGGATGTGGTGTAGGACACACACTGGCAGCCCTGTACGTTCTTTCCCTTCTCCTCACCTCCAAAGTTAGTCTTCTTTGTGGATAATCTATCTTCACTCCACCATCATAGATCTGGTGTTTTGGGGTGGATAAATTTATAATTTAGCCATCTTTACAGATGATCAGTAGCCACATCTAGGTCTCATTGAGAAGAATGCACATTACTCAGATTTTAGAGCAGGTCATGACTTGGACTGTCTTCCTTTGGGAAGGAGAGTAAATGCATTTTTGGTTGTAGATGGTGTGGGTTCTTTATTTTAGTAGAAGGTTTTTTTTTAAGATATCATTTTTAGTGAGGTGAAATGCACTTTACATTATATTAGCCACTTTAAAATGAACAATTCAGTGGCATTTAGTACATTTGCAATGTTGTACAATACCCTCTCTGATAGATAGCAAGTGCATTTTGAAAAATGCATACATGGAGAAAAAGGTACATGTGGATGCCAGGCAGCCGTCGGTAAGGAGTGTAATATGTTTGCCCAGGGCCCTGTGCTTTGGGAAACAACTATGCCCCTACTCCATGGGGTGCTGGCTAGATCTGTCAGTCCATTGCTGCCTCCTGCACCTGCACAATGTGGTGGGCATGTGATGCACACTATCTCCCTGGCTGCAGAACCTGGTCCGGGTGGGCTTGTGACCAAAGCCAGAACAACTGAAGTAATCCTCAGGACTTTTCTGCCTGGCATTGGGCCTTGAGTGAGGGTGTCATTGAAAAATGGAACAGGACAATGATATGTCTCAGACCTTGAGGCTCAGGGATGGGGTGGGTGTATTGTTATAAGTTGTGGTGCCTCATGTCCTGAGACATCAGGTGGCTTCCTGAAGGAAAGGAAAATTATGTTTTTCTATTGGGATTCTAAGCTGGGAGAACGTGCACCTGATGCTGCTGTCTGCCAGCCTGGAGTTTGTTGGAAGTAGGAGGGAAAGTGCCAACATGGTGGGGGACAGATGAGAACCAGGAGAGAGTAAGCTCTGGAAATGGCATCTGAGTCCTCAGACTTAGCTTTTCCTGATTCTGAATCCCCAACCCTGGGCTTCCCAATTGTCTAAACTCTAAACTACTGAATCCCTTTGTTCATTTAAACTAGTTTAGGCTGGGATTCTGTCACTTGCAACCAAGAGTCTTGACTAATATAACAACCCTAGAAAGTAGGTGGAAGTATCACCATGTGTTACAGATGAAGAATCTCCGTGGACAGTGGTCCAGGATGTAGCTCTTCCGGTGGGTGTGATATGGCGATGGAAAGATGACCCAGGTGGGGTCATCTGTGAGTCACTGCGGGGCTGAAATCAGTCAGCAGGATGGTAGGTGAACCATGTTTGGAAGTCAGGGAGGAAGTGTGGCAAAGGCAGGTGGAATGGTGGGGGAAGCAGCCTGATGGAGAGGACGTAGGGTCTCTGAGGGTGCTGGGGCCAAGGGTAGGTACACCACTGCTTCTCTCACCTGAGGCAGGAGTGTGGGACCTGAGGCCCAGGAGAAGGAATGTGCTGTTAGTGTTTGCTAAGTATGTCTGGTTCTCCCTGCCTGGAGGTCCAGGGTAAAGTTTACTTCCTGGATTCTTGCAGTTGAATGGGACTCTGACTGGTTCCAGCCAATGAGTGACAAATGGCTACTGTCAATGGATACCCTCCAGTGCTCTTGAGGGGGTGGCTCTTCTGTCAGGCAGCATCCCAGAATATTCAGTGAGCTCTACCCCTCTGCAGACCTGCCACGGACATGGGACAGGGCAAGAAAAGAAACCTTTACAAAATGTATTTGATAAATTTAATTATAATTGTACTATACTCTATTTTTTATGTGCTGAAATATATATAACATGAAATGTACCATTGTAACCATTTGTAAGTGTATAGTTAAGAGGCATTACGTACATTCATAAATTGTTCAACCATCACCAACATCCATCCCCAGAACTTTTAAATCATCCCAAACTGAAATTCTGTACCCATTAAACACTAACTGTCCACTCTTCTACCCCCACAGCCCTGGCAACCACTATTCTTTCTGCCTCATATAAGTGGAATCAGACAATATTTATCCTTTTGTGCCTGACTTATTTCACTTAGCATAACATCAAGGTTCATCCAGGCTGTAGCATGTGTCAGAATTTCCTTCCTTTTTAGTCTGAATAATATTCTGTTGCACACACATGCCCCATTTTATGTATCCACTCACCAGGTGATAAACATTTGGGTCATCTTCATGGCTGGTATGAATAATGGCTACTATGAACGCTAGCGTACAAATGTCTGTTTGAGTCTCTGCTATCAACTGAAGTGGGATTGCCGGATTGTATGATACTTACATGTTTATTTTTGTGAAGAACTTCCATACTGTTTTCCACAGAACCTTTGTGGTTTTAAGTCACCAAGACGTGGGTTGTTACAGCAGGATAACCTCGCCTATCCTGACTGATACTGCTCCTTACCCCAGATGATCTAGGATCAATCATGATTCAGGTCATAGTGGGGCAGACACAGTGAGAGGGTGTAGAAGTCCAAAGACTAACTCAATCTGAACTGGACCCAGTGTGGTATGTGGTAAGAAGGGCAGAGTAGGGTCAGCCAGCATTGATATGGCTCTCTTGGGACCACCTGGAGGGTCCTCCTCATGCCAAAGATGTCATGGTCAGGTTCTGTAACTGACCCTGGAGCTTCTTCCAGAATGCAAACCCCCTAACATAGTCCCCTTGGGCCTCTTGACCCCAGCAACACAGGCATCCGAGGTCATACACATCATGCACTCCCAATGATTTCATCACAAATAGTCCTACTGAAAAGAAACTTACACATGCCCATCTTGACCTTGAGAATTTCAGCTTGTTAAGAACAGCTATAATGTTTTAAAGGTGTGGTGTGGTAATTTCAAAGTCAGATGAATCAGGCTTTGAATCCTGGATCTGCCACTTCCCAGCTGTGTGTGGCTTTAAGCCTCAGTTTTTTCATCTGTAGAGTGAGGATGATACAAACAACTTCACATGGTTGGTAGGGAATAAGAGAAGTGTCAAGTCTGGTGCCTGGCAATAGGAAACTCTCAGTAAACAGCCACTGCTATTTGGGAGAATTATATAAGCCTTTGAGGAAGGGAGCAGTGTGGCAGCCATCTTTCTAAACATGGTCTTCCCCTCAGCCAAGCTTTAGTTGTCGTGATATTGAAAATAAAGTGGCAAGGAGCCTGCAGTGTACACAGTCATTCAACCAAGGTTTACTGAAGACCACTATGTGCCAAGTGCTGGGGGAGAGAGACAGATGTGGTCCCTGTCCTCGCGGAAGGAACATAATGAATCTCTGGAACTGGCCAAGCGGAGACCATGGATAGCAGGGCCTATTATCAGTGCCATGGTATTATAACTTGCATGAGGGTGACAGTGAAACAGGCCAGGACAACTGCGTGCAGTGGCCTCTGACCATGAGATTCAGGGAGTAGGGTAGACTGAAAGACCTGGAAGCATTAGAGGGCTCCCAGAAGGAAAACCTCTTAGATGAAAGGTCAGTTCTGTGTCCCCAAGAGTTAGGTAACTCTGTTCCTGTGACCCTCAGAGGGATGACGTCAGTGGAGGTGAAGGGAAAAGTAGGACTGGTTTCAGCAGTGAGGCCTGGTTGCCCATCTTCAGTAGCTTCTGCCCACAGTGGGATTGTGGGTGCCCGGGGAAGGGAGCACACTGTGTCCTGAGTCAGGGCACCCATGTAGCTGAAGCACTGAGTAGATGGGGGTGCACAGAAGACTGGTCCTCTTAGGCCTCTTGCGGGCAGAAGTGGGGCTCTAAGCTATGTGGCTAGGGGGACCCCGCACCAAGACCAAGAGGTGGGTGTTGGGAAATAGATGAGCAGAGGGTGACTGTGCTGGCGGAAGTAGACGGAGACGCTCCAAGTCAGAAATCTGGAGCCTTGAGAACTCTATGGGAAATGAGAACAGCCCCCACGGTAGAGGTGAGTAGGCAAAGGCGTGAGTAAGCGTGAGGGTGGAGAGTAGGTGTGCACAGAATCAGAGCTGGAAGGGATCTTCAGTGTCATTTAGATCGACCTCCTACTCCACGAAGTCTTTCTGAGGCATTCAACTCTACTTGGACACCTCAAGGTATGGGGAACTCACTCCCTTAAAGGGGGTACATCCTGTAGAGCAGCTCGACCCTCCAGGACGATCTGGATGGGCCTGGAACTCCGACCTTGGCCTTGTTGAGTGAGCTGTCTTCCACCGGGCGGCGGTACCTGGAGAAGGTGGCGGGGTGGCGTGGGGTTGCGGTGCGGATGGGCCGGCGCTGCTGTCCCCAGCCCCAGTGCTGAGGCAGGCAGAGTGCAGTGGACTCTGGTGGAGGTCGAGAGAACTGCAGGGTAAAGGCCGCCGGGGGCTACGCGGGCTGCCGGGGGGAGGCACTTGACACCTGCCGGGGGAGAGGAGGGGCCGCTGTCCCTGCGGCCAGTGCTGGATGCGGGGACCCAGCGCAGAGGCAGCGCCAGGTAGCGGGGCGCCCCTCCCGGGTAGGGCTGCAGCAAGGCCCCCGGCGGAATAGCCGAGAGCGCGGTCCAGGCGAGGTTCCCAGGCCCAGTGCCGGGTCGGGGCGCTGCGGGGTCCGGCCTTGTGTCTCGCGGGGTGCGGGGAGCCCCGGCGGGGTTGCAGAGGCCGGGAAGTCGGACCGAGGGCGCTAGGACCGGCCGCGCGCCGAGGCCGCTCCCGCCGCGGCGCCCCGGGGCCCCCCAGTCGGCGCTGCCTCCCGGGCCGGCTCCGCAGCGCCGGGGCCGGGGCCAGCGCGGCCGCGGGGGGCGAGCAGCGGGCGGAGGCCTGGGCCCGCGGGCGGCCGGAGGGAGGGAAGGAGGAAGGCGGAGAGAAGGGGTGGGAGGGGGGGACCCGGCGGAGGAGGCGGAGAGAGGGAGCGCGACAGCGAGCGGAGGGAGGGAGCGAGCAAGGCAGGCAGGCGGGCCGGGAGGGAGGAGGGCGCGCGGGCGGCGGCGGCGGCGGCGGCGGCGGCGGCGGCGGCGGAGAGAGCACAGGACGAGCCGGGACGCGGCGCCGCGGCACCAGGGCGCGCAGCCGGGCCGGCCCGACCCTACCGGCTACACGGTAATGAGCGCCGCTACTGGCGGCCCGGCAGGCCGGCCCGGAGGCGGGCGGGGAGGAGGGGAGGCCGTGCGGGGGGCACGGCGGCGGGCAGTGCCCGGCTCGGGGCAAGCTCCTGGACCCCTGCAACTCGGCGCCGGCGGGGCCAAAGCTGCGGGCGGGGACCGCGGGCCGGGCTGGCGGAGGTGGCGCAGGGGATTTCAGGGTTTGTTTATGTCCCCGCGGGCTCGGCAGGCGCCCCCTCCCGTCCCGCCCGCGCCCGGCGCGGAGCCCCCTCTCCGCCCCCGCCTGGCTCCGGGCTCAAGTTCAAGTCTATACAATGCCGCGGGGGGCCCCCTCCGCCGCTGCCCTCAGCCTCGGTGCCCGGCTCGGCGCTGCCGCAGGGGCCCCGGCCTGGCGGCCCCCGCCTTCCGGGCGCTGCTCCCGCCCCGGGGCCCCTCCTGGGGCCTGCAGCCGGGGCGCTGGAGGGCGCAGACCCCGACCCGGAATAGTCGGCTCCCGCCGCGACCCGCAGGGAGCGGGGGAGGGGGCGGGGGCCGGGCCCCGCGCAGGCTCCGCGGCGGCGGCGGCAGAAAATGGCAGCCTGGCACGACCCGGCCCCCCGCCCCTCCCCCCGGCTCCCGGCCCTCCTCGGCCCGGCGGGGCGGGGGACCGGGAAGGCCCCGGGGGCGGGCCGCGGGGGAGATCGGGGGGCCGGGCCGGGAAGCGCTACACAGCGATCCTCCTCCGGCCACCTGTGGCTGGGGTGCGGGGTGCCAGCGGATCTGGGAGGAGCGGCGGGGGTGCGGAGAGTGCCACTTGGGGGGCACACCTCCCCGCGGAAGGCCGGGCGGCGCGCGGGGGGGGGGGACGTCGTGCCTGGCTCCTCCCTGCCCCCGCCGCGGGCCGTGGGAGCCGGGGCGGCGGCGGCGGCGCCGCAGTGTGGGGGCGGGGCGGGGGCGGGCGAAGATCCTGGCCCGGGCCACAGGGGCCGGAAAACGCTGGGGTGGGAGCAGCGGGGTCGCGACCGGGAGGGGCGCGGGTCTGGGTGCCCGGGGTCACCCCCTGCATCAGCACTGCCCTCCACCCCGCTCGCGGACACACTCACGCACACGCACCCCCGCTGGGCCGGTGCAGACGTGTCCTTGAAAGCTTCGCATCTGCACCGTGAAGGACGAGGCCTCGTCGAGGCTGCGGATCGGGGTCTTCAGCCCCACGTCGCCGCACCCCGGGAGACCCCAAGCTTCGGAGCCGCAGGAGGCCGTGTCCCGTGTCCCGCCCTCACCCCGCTCCCCTCTCCCAGGCCTCCTTGCCCTCCCTCCCCCTCAGCGCGGACTGAGCTGGCGTGGGGCCAGGGCCCGCCCCCGGCCTTCCCCAGGCCCCCATGGTGGGGCCCGCGGCCGAGCTGCCAAACTGCATTTTGCTTTCTTGGAGCCTCTCTTCTTGGGGGCACCCACTCTCTTCCCTCGCCTCCTTGTTAGTTCCCCCCTTCCTCTTCATCCCGTCTGTCCTTTCACCTCTCTCTCTCTCTACTGCAAAGCCAGTCGAGTAGGTGTTGGCACCCTGGGTGGGGATTGGGGGTCCGCTGGTTCTCAGGGGCTCTCTTCCCCACTCTCAGGCGAGCCCCCTGTGGCTGCACCTTGACCCAAGATGGCGTCCTGCACCCAGCTGGGCAGCTCTGGCCTGCGTCAGGCGGGGAGGAAGGGCCGGGACCCAGAGCCACACAATCTGCCCCCTCGCAAACCAAGGGTCAGGAGCCTGTGGGACAAGCGCCGTCCACCCTGTGACCCAGCTTGCCCCTCATTGCCGTGCCCAGAGACTGCCATCAGCATCCCTGAGGGACTGTTCGGTCTTCATGTTTCACCCTGGGCTGCCAGAGGCTGAACCTGCCCCCTGGGCTGCGGGCTGTGAAGGGATCCTGGGATCAGGTGCTGCTCGCTGGGCCTCCTCCCTCCCAGGCAGATGTGACAGCTGCAGCCAGGGAAGCATTTCTTCTTAGGCGCTGCTAGAGCGTTAGGACTAGCCTATGGGACGTGGGGAGCCCAGCTGTCAGGCAACCCTCTTTGGGCCGTCCCCATTGCTGGCGGGGCCATCTCCTGGTGGTTTCCTGAGCTGCCTGGGTTTAGATGCTGGGGCTGAGTGGTGCCCCTCCGCCTCTAGGTCCCATTGAGGCCCTGGTTCGGCTGTTTGACAGGCAACTCTGTGGAAGTGTGAGTTGTGTGCATGTGTGCGCATGTGGGCACATGTGCTGCACCCAGGCAGGAGCCCCAGGCAGACTTGCTGCAGCGGGTCTGGCACCTGCCTGCCTCTCTTCCTGGGCCCCACTTCTTTGGGCCCTGGCTCCCTCTCTGGCCTCTGGTCCAGCTCTCTCCTTCTTGTCTTCAGCTACTCATCAAACGCACAGCTCCTGGCTCAGGCTGACCAAGGCTCCCCTTGTTTTCCCTCACTCCTGCTCTCTGGGCCTACAATTGGAGGCTGACCTTAGAAAAGGTGAATTCCTTCCAGACTCAAGGAGTGCCAGGTCCACAATGCAAGGGCTGCCCCTGAGCACTGAGCAACTAGAAGAGGACAATCGTGGCCATCTGTCCGGGTGTCTGTGGACAGGATTCCTCTGTGGGGTGGGGGTTGGCCTGGAGCTTGGAGGTCCATTCCAGCTTTTAAATTCTATGGCTCTGATTCTCGTGGTGGAATTTCAGACCCAGGAATGGGGGCGGGGTGGTCTGTTTTCCACCAACCAGCCATAATCTGGAAAGGCTTCCAAGGGGAGGAGGCCTGAGAGCAGGGCCTCCTGGGGGATGGGCCTTTGAAAGGAGAAGTTGGTGTGAGGGGTAGGAGCCCTGCGGGAGACAGGTTTGTCATATCTGACTCCGTGAAGTGGGTAGAAGTACAGTCTCTGGTTAAGGATGTGCATGTCCTTTTGTAGGTTTATGTGTAAATCTGTGTGTGTGCATTATTTCTGAGGTCTCCTCCCAGAGGCCAAATCACAGTAAGCTCCTGCAACCCTATGGATATTTTACTATCATTGCCACACACATCACTGCCATTGCTCCTCTGAAAAATCCTGCAAGGAAGACAGGACAAGCTGTAAAATAGGTGCTCTGTGTGACCTGGTCAGGAAGAAGCAGGGCCAGGCCTGCCCTCTAAGGAACCTGAACTGTCCCCTGCTATAGCTCTGTAGGTCTGCTGTTTTGTATGTCAGTTTCTCCTATCAGTTTGTGGTCCCACCCATCCCCCGCACCCCATCGGACATTTAGTAGGGCCTCTGCTGAATGATGGGAAGCTCCATGCGTGTTTCAGTCCCTGTCTCTTTAGTGGCAGGCTTGGTGGCTGGGCTCTCTGGCTTGCTGCTGCTCCACCTTCACCAACTGGTCATTGCCAACTTAAAGGCCAGTTCCTCAGGCTCAAGCCTCCCTGAAAGACCCAACTTCTTTCCCAGCAAAAGCCTGGGTTCCATAAAGGCTCCTTTTATTGGGAACCAGATAGGAAGGTGACACAAAGCCGTCTTGCCAGCTCTCTAATGGGTGTATTAAAAATAGACCACCCTCTCCCCATCCCTGGGCTTGAAATGTTACCATTAGAATCCAAGCCTTAGAATTTAGGGTTGAAGGGGACCTTTAAGCTTTGAGAATGCTTGGAGCTGGGGTGGGAGCTGAGTGTGGGGCTGGGCTTCATTGCTTTCAGGATTGGAAGTGCTACTCAGAGCCTGAGGCCAGAAGGGCCAGTTGTGTGCCTGTCACAACTGCTGTCCCCTTGCATGGGCCTGGAGTCCATGACTTGGTGCCCCTGTCCCCTCCCCCATCTCATGACCCACTGCTTGTTAAGTGTGTCTCTGGTGTCTAACTTGGGAACAGGCAACAGTTAAAGCCAAGGCGTGGCCCACAGGAATTGTTTCCATTTGCATTTTGGTATCTAATAGATAATAGAGCTGGTCAGAAACCTGCCTATCCTTTGAGGCTGGGTTTCTGTTGGTCTTGCTGCTCCTGAGCAAGGCTTTAATAGTGAATGAAAGGTGCTGGATTCCTTTCCACTCAAATCTTGAGAGCTCGTTTACAGTCATTCCTCTCTTTGACTATATTTCTCTTAAAAAACTACCAAATCTGAGACCCATCAGTTGTCAGAGATTTCCTGCCTCCACTTGGCTAAGTGTGTGGGCAGGACAAAGTGCAGTGCATCCATGTGTGCGTGTTTCTGGGCCACGGTGAGCAGCTGCATAGGGGCAGATACGACTTCCTTAGACAGGAGCCAGTTCCAAGGCAGCCGAAGTGAGGGCCCTGGACCTGAAAAGAGCTGTGTTCTGACACTTCCCAGCTTTAGGATCTGGGGCAGCTAACTTCAGTTCTCAAAGCCTGTTTCCTCACTTGTAACATGAAGATAAGACTAGGCTTCCCTCACCGGTAGCGGACTGTCAGTGTCAGTGGTGGCTCGCTGTGGCTGCTTTCATCCTCCCGGCTCCTCGCCTGGACTGGCACTCCAGGAAGTGCTCTGGGAAGTCTTGTCCACCTTCCTGCCCTCTGTGCAAAATCTTGGACAGAGGAGGAAAGTACTGATTCTGATGGAAAAATCCGCTGAGGCAGGAGGTTGCTGAGCACCACTTAGCAATCTGTTCCAGAGTTTAGCAAATTGCATGGTCCACAGGTTGTCTTAGTATCCACCTTAAATCCCTCACGCTCTAGTTTCATCTTTTTATTCTGATTCTGTCCTGAATGCAGCAAATTTGCTTTCATTTACTAGAGACTTGCTGAGTGTTTCCTGTGGGCAAGGCCCTGTGCTGGGCCATGAGGGGACATCGGGTGAGTTTAGGATGTGCTCACCTAGTTAATGACCATAGACCAAGGCTGCAGGAGAGGGAGAAATAAAGTGCTAAAAGGACAGTGAGGTCATAACCAACTGAGGGGATCAGGGAAGGCTTCTTGGAGGAGGTGGCCCCTGAGATGGGTCTCAAAGCACAGAGATGGGGCTTCCAGGCAGAGCGCAGGAAGCCAGTACGTCCAGGATGGGATGGATGGAGTGTGGAGGAAGTGGAG